TGTTTCAAAATCACAACCAAACTTGGCCCCACCCGCTGACCCTGACCCTGCCCTTCTTCTGATCGTGGCCGTCCCTGCTTCCAACCTGCCTAGAAGGCCCCGCCCCGGGCACTGCCCCTCCCTCCCCATTACCAGTGTGTGCCCCGTGGGGACAGCCCCGTGGTACTGAGCTTGGATGCAGACGTAGCCGTCTGAGAAGGTGCAGGGCAGGAACCAGGGGGGCCGCAGGTCGGCAGGCACCACGTGCAGCACCAGTGTGGCGGTGGCCGTGTGGCTGGGCTCCACATTCTCCTCCGGAGTGTCCTGCAACAGCCAGATCAGGCCTGGGAGCAGCTGGGGCCAGGGGGACCTCAAGCATGTGGGACTCAGGGCTGGGGTGAGCCGCTCACCCGCGCCAGCAGCCAGAAGGCCATGTTCGGCCGCTCGTAGAAGTTCAGGGGCCGGTCCAGCCTCAGGGCGGGATGGTTTACACCCACCAGGGAGAAGTAGTCACTGGCACCCTGGGGAGGATCAGGGAAGACACAGCCTAAGAGCCTGGGAGGGCGAGGGCGGCTGCGGGTGTCAGTGGTGAGGGGCTCACGCTGGGGCAGGGCAGGTGGCACTGACTTCGGTCACTTCCTGGAGGGTGTAGAACAGAATGTCATCCTTGTCTTTGTCCTCGGCCTGCAGTTCTGTCTCAGGGATGACGGTGGAGTTTACTTTAGTGTCCTAGGGAGGGAGAGGGGCTTGGTCTGGCCACACTCTTGGCCCCTGTGGACCCCCGCTGTGGTTGAGCCCCCGGCCACCACTCGCCCCACCCCGGGCTCCCGCACCCCCTGCCCAGCCCTGGCAGCTTCGCTGGCCTCACCTCTTCCACCCTTATCTCCTTGGTTGTAAAGGGGAATTCGGGGGCGTTGTCATTGACGTCCAGCACTGACACGAACACCCTCAGCTGGGTCACCTGCAGGATGTGGCCGTCAGCCTCTCCCACAGCCCCTTCCCACATGAGTGAGGTGTACCCCTCAACGCTATCCTTCCCCATCATGAGTGAGGTGCACCCCTCGGCGGCTGTCTGTCCCCATCGTGAGTGAGGTGCACCCCTCGACGGCTATCCATCCACTCACTCGCTCAGTGGTGTTGGGGGGCTGCAGGGGAGCTGCACATCTCTAGGTGCTGGGATGCAGCGATCACAAGAGACAAATCTCTGCCCGGTGGTGCCTGTCCTGGCAGGACTTACAACAACAGACAAAAAGGACTTTATAAAGCCAGGAGGTGGCAGGTGCGCCACAGAAAAATAATGCAGGTACTTGGGGATGCAACCAGCAGAATCTCAAGTGAGGAAAGACAATCCAGTTCTTCACTTTGTTTTTTTGTTTTTTTGGATACAGAGTCTCATTCTGTCACCCAGGCTGGAGTGCAATGGCATGATCTTGGCTCACTGCAATGTCTGCCTCCCAGGTTTAAGCGATTCTCCTGCCACTGCCTCTCGAGTAGCTGGGATTACAGGCGCCCGCCATCACACCCGGGTAATTTTTTATTTTTAGAAGAGACGGGGTCTCTCCATGTTGGTCAGGCTGGTCTCAAACTCCCTCCCAAAGTGCTGGGATTACAGGTGTGAGCCACCGCACCCAGCTGACAACCCAGTTTCTTCACAAATAAATCTCCAAGAGAAAAGATGGGAGAAGGAAACGTGAAGATGAACAGAAACTCAGGAGAATTATCAGTTAGGTGCATAACGTGGACCCTGATTCAAACAAACAATTGTTAAAACCCTTCAGGGACCTTGGGGAATGCGGCATCCTGAACATTCGAGGTAGAAAGTGACCACTTTTCCCAGGTGTGACGACATTGTGGTTATGTTTTAAAAAGAAGAGTCCCGGTGGGCATGGTGGCTCACGCCTGGAATCCCAGCACTTTGGGAGGCCGAGGCGGGCAGATCACCTGAGGTCAAGAGTTCGAGACCAATGTGGCCAACATGGTGAAACCCCATCTCTACTAAAAATACAAAAATTAACTGGGTGTGGTGGCGGGCGTCTGTAATCCCAGCACTTTGGGAGGCTGAGGTGGGTGGACGCCAAGGCAGGAGAATCGTTTGAACCTGGGAGGCAGAGGTTGTAGTGAGCGGAAATCGTGCCACTGCATTCCAGCCCGGGCGACAGGGTGACTCCATCTAAAAAAAAAAAAAAAAAAAGGAGGGTCCCGGCCAGGCGCAGTGACTCATGCCTGAAATCCCAGCACTTTGGGAGGCTGGGGCGGGCGGATCACCAGGTCAGGAGTTTGAGATCAGCCTGACCAACATGGTGAAATCCTGTCTCTACCAAAAATACAAAAATTAGCCAAGCGTGGTGGCGGGCGCCTGTAATCCCAGCTACTTGGGAGGCTGAGGCAGGACAATCACTTGAACCCAGGAGGCAGAGGTTGCAGTGAGCTGAGATCTCGCCATTGCACTCCAATCTAGGTAACAGAGCGAGACTCTGTCTCAAAAAAAAGCAGCGTCCCTCTCTTTCAGAGACACATGCCAAGATATGTGTGGGTGATGTGCTGTGGTGTGCGGAGGGTACAGAGCCCGCTGTCTGCTGGTAAGTGGGGGGGCCTGTGCTGGCCTCAGGATTCTGCAATTTTCCTTAATAAAGCCGAAAAAAATGCCGCTGGTCAAGAAGTAGGATGTTGGGGGAGTGGGGCTGGGATGCAACTATTCCCTAATAGGGCGGTTGGGATTTCTCTGAAGACTGCAGACCTGAGCAGGTGAGGGAGGAGCGTGCCTGCGGGAGCTCTGAGGCTGCAGCAGAGCCTCTGCACAGTACATCTGGGTTTGACTCTCAGTGAGAAAGGAGCTGTGGAGGGCTGGGGTGGACTGGGCAGCCTTGGTTTACAGCGTCCACAGAGGCTGTTCCGCCGCATGGAGTGGACTGGGACCGGCAAGGGGCAACAGGGAAGCCAGCGGGCCGGCTGAAAGTTTCCTAAAATGAGTGCTGGTGTCCCGGCTCTGGTGGGACTGGAGGTAGGCAGACGGTGGATATCTGGGTCGAGCTGGGGCAGAGCCAAGTGATTTACCAATGGGGAGCTTAGCAGGGGACGTGGGGAGGGAGGGCGAGTGGAAACCAAGGTGGTTCCAGTGGCTGGCAGGATAAAGGTGCCTCCCTTGTGGGGGCAGTGGTGGTTGAGGGAGTGGGTGGGAGTCTTGGGCACACTGGGTGGGGGTATCTGCTGGACAAGGGGTCAGTGACGGGGACGCCACAGTTCAGGGCAGAGTCTGAACTGGAGGAAATGTGAGCATCGCTCTCGGAGGGATGGCATTTGAAACCACACCCTGGGTGAGGTCATCAGAGACTGGCCCTGGACCGGCAGGGCAGAGCCCAGCTGAGGTGGCCTGGTGGGCGGGGAGAGTGGGGCAGGGACTCACCAGCGTGCCTCCGCTCTGACACAGCAGCTGAGCCTCAAGTAGTGAGTTCTCCTGTGGAGGCAGACGGGTCTGCAGTCACTGTCCCGCCCCACAGGTGGTGAGACTGAGGCCAAGGGGGCAGGCGCTGGCCCAGGGTCCCCATCATCAGTGGTCAGTGCTGAGGATGTGAAATGGCCCAGCCTTCTAGGGCAGGCACCACCAAGCATGGGTGTTAGTGGATGCCTGCAGGCATAGAACTCCTGGGCCCCCCGAGGAAGTTGTGGCCTGAGGATCCAGGCGCCCTTCTCCCGGGAGCCCCCACTCCCCACCCACCTGCCGCCCACACCTCGTAATCAGGAGACACGTTGAGAAACAGCTGGTTTCCCTGGATCCGAAATGCGAAGGGGGTGGACAAGGGTCCGAGGGTCACCTCCTGGCCCTCTGGGACATGGATGTCCACCAGCGGCTCGGTGACATTTGTGTTCTCCTCGACTTCAAAGAAGGACTTGTCCACAGAGCAGTCTGTAAGGTTGCAGAGGAGGGGTCAGCGCCTCCCAGGCCCTGGCTCCCCCCGCCCTGTGCCCCTACCTACCTACCCCTGCCCGCACGTACACTGGACCTGGGCCATGGCCCCCGGGGGTCGGCCAAGCAGCCCGGTGAGCAGCAGGGGAGGCCACAGCAGGGCCCAAGACCCCATCTTGGCGGCTGTCACCTGGCGCGAGGGTCCGAGTGGGTTTGGCGTCCAGGACTGGCGCAGTTCCTACCTCAGCGACCTTCGCCCCAGCCAGACGCCGCCCACTTTATGATCCTTTACAACCAGCCTCTGCCAAGGGGGCTCCCGCTGGCCGGCGGGTCCAGCCCACTGCCAGAAGGGGGGCAGTCATTTGGCCCAAGTTAGACTGAGTACAGGGATTAACCAGGGGGCTCAGGCCACAGGCACCGAGGCACAGGGCAGAAAGGACTGGAGAACGGCTCACGGGCGCCATGGGGCTGGGGCAGGGCAGGGGCAGAGCGAGGGTGTTGGAGAGAAGCTGTTGGTGTTGGGGTGTCTGAAACCTGCCTCCCTAGCCCAGGCTGCCCTTGCTTGGCTCCTCCCCTAAGCTCTCCCTCAGGCAAAATTCCTAAGGCCAATCATTGAGGCTCAGAACCCGGGTGTTCGCCGGGGAGTACCTCCCTGCCTGCCTGATGGCAGGTTCTGAAGGAAGAGACTCCCCTCACTGTGTCCTAGAGACACCCCTGCCTGCCTGCCCCAGAGACAAGCCAACTTCTCAGGGTGGGGCTGGACAGGGCCTTAGTGACCAAGGCTAAGGCGGGGCTGTGGGGGGCAGCTGGGAGTTCCTGGGGAGCCCTGGTGCCCAACAGAGGGGGTGAGGTGAGTCTTGACACTTGCCCTGCTCTTTTCATTGGCCCCCGCAAGCCCCCAGCTCTAGGGAGAGGCCACTGGCTGGGGTGGGGGCGAGGAAGGGGCTGTCGTGAGGCGGGGAGTGCAGTCATTCCTCTCCAGGCCTGTGCACCGAAGCTTCAGGCCTCTCGTGGCTGGGGCTGGGCTCAGTGTCCCAACCCTGCACTGTACCCTCATGGTCGCCTGCAAGCCCTGCACGCTCCATACTGCACAGGCTCTGAGGGGTCAAGCCACTGGTCTGAGGCCACACAAGACAGAAGGTCCGGAGTCCTCATGCCAGAGTGGACTCCTGGCACCCCAGGTGACACCTCTGCCCTCCCCTCTTCCTGCCTGCCTGAGCCTCCCTGGCCCCTCCACACCCTCCCCACTGCCCCTTCCGGAAACACTGACCACCCGGGCCCCCGTCTGTCCGGGCTCCCCCTGAGCCCTTGACTGTTTCCTAATGAAGACAAGGGGTGGGGCGGGGCCCTGCGGTGCTTAGTCGATGTACAGGAGGCGGCACTGATGCCAGAGATAAGGATGAGGGGCCAGCTGTGGCTGCCAGGTGTAAAGGGCAGCTGGGTGTGGTCACAGTCCCGGCTGGGTGGATGGGGCCCCCTTCCGTCTGACAGCCCTGCTACACAGGGGTTGCCTCGATTACACCAAGTGGACACAACCAACTCCCAGTGTCTGGGTCTGATTCTCCTTTATTGGTGCCGAGTTCCAACTCTCCCCCTCTCCCCCCAGCCTGCCCCACCACCCCCAATGCAGCTCCGCTCCTAGGCTGGGCAGGTGGTGAGGGGGTTCCTTCCTCATCTCGGTCGCAGGGTTCCTTCTGCAGCAGCACTGGCAGGTTCTGAAACCATAACCCCAGGCCTGGGCCCAGGGGGCAGCCAGGGAGACCAGGCCCCGCCCAGGGGCATCCTGCAGAGACAGCACGTGCGGGGCTGGGGCTGGAGACCCCGGCCCCGCCGCTGGAATTGGGCCTCCGGTGGCCACCAGCGCTGACCCAGGGAGGCCACGGACAGAAGGAAGGGTCTGGGGTGGGGTCTGGAGTGGGGTCTACGGTGGGGCGGGCGCTCACCAGGCCTGCAGGGTGGGCGTGTCGGACCCGGACGGGCAGAGCAGACCCGCGCCGAGCCTGGACCAGGCCGTGCTGTTCTCTGCGTCCTGCTCGCTGTCCCCCGCCCCAAAACAGAGTTAGTCCTGGAGCTGGGGGTCGCGCGTTGCTGCTGGGGCACCACGGCAAGCCCCCACCCCACCCGGCCTCACCTGCGCTTCCCCACCAGACCCTGCAGCAGCCGCTGGAGCCGCGCGCCCTCCCGCAGGCGGCTGAGCTCGCTGGTGAACGTCCCGTCCGAGTGTCGCCGGGCCCTGGGGGCGGGCGGGGGTCGGGGTCAGGGCCGCGCGGGGGGCGGGTGCGGCCGGGGGCGGTCGGGCCTGGCGGGCGGCTCACCTGGGGGGCGCGGGGCGCGCGGCGGAGCCCCCGAGGAGCAGCAGCAGCAGCAGGAGGGGCCGGGGGGCCATGGCGGGGTCGGGCGCGGGAGCTGAGCGCTGCGGCCACGGCCAGAGCCCCGCGAGGCCCCTTTATGGCGGCGCCCGGAAGGGGGACGGCCCGGCCGCGCCCAGCGATCCCGGGAAGGTCAGGGCCGCCCCCCCAGCTGTCGCCCCGGCCCGGCCTCCCGCCCCCTCCGCCGCGCTGGCGCCCCTCGGCCGACTGGGGGAGGGGGACGTCCCGGCCTGGGGGGCGAAGGGGACGCGGGCCCGGGACCCCCAGAGGGAACCGCACCGCGAAGCCTCGGAGCCTGCGGGGCGCGGGGACGGAGGGGCCGTGGGACTTGGGGGAGGATTTGGGGGGACTGGGGGACCCCGGGGAAGGGGCGGCGGCAGGAGCTCCGGAGGCCCCTGGAGCACCCGGCTGGGGCGAGTTCGTCTCCGGCTTCAGCGTTGGGACAGCGCCTCTGGTCCCGGGAAGGCCTGAGCGGCGTGACTTTGTTGTGGGGGCCGGTGTTGCCATTTTATCCGCTTTGAAGTTCAGGGTTCAGGATCATTGGGTTCGCTGACATTTCCGTGCATCCGTCCCCACCATCCGTTCTCAGACTCCCCATCCTCCCAAAATCCGTTCTCAGACTCCCCATCCTCCCAAAATCCGTTCTCAGACTCCCCATCCTCCCAAAATCCGTTCTCAGACTCTCCCATCCTCCCAAAATCATTCTCAGACTCCCCATCCTCCCAAAATCCGTTCTCAGACTCCTCATCCTCCCAAAATCCGTTCTTAGGCTCTTGGCCTCCCAAAATCCGTTCTCAGACTCCCCATCTCCAAATCAGTTCTTAGGCTCTTTCGTCCTCCCAAAATCCGTTCTCAGAGCTCTTGTCCTCCCAAAATCCAGATTCTCAGACACTCCTGTCCTCCCAAAATCCGTTCTCAGACTCTCCCATCCTCCCAAAATCATTCTCAGACTCCCCATCCTCCCAAAATCCGTTCTCAGACTCCCCATCCTCCCAAATCGTTCTCAGACTCCCCATCCTCCCAAAATCCGTTCAGAACTCTCCCATCCTCCCAAAATCATTCTCAGACTCCCCATCCTCCCAAAATCCGTTCTCAGACTCCCTCATCCTCCAAAATCCGTCTTAGGCTCTTCCAGCCTCCCAAATCCGTTCTCAGACCATCCTCCCAAATCCGTTCTTAGGCTCTTCCGTCCTCCCAAAATCCGTTCTCAGGCTCTCTTGTCCTCCCAAAATCCGTTCTCAGACACTCCTGTCCTCCCAAAATCCGTTCTCAGACTCTCCCATCCTCCCAAAATCATTCTCAGACTCCCCATCCTCCCAAATCAGTTTCTCAGACTCCCCATCCTCCCAAAATCCGTTCTCAGACTCCCCATCCTCCCAAAATCCGTTCTCAGACTCCCATCCTCCCAAAAATCATTCTCAGACTCCCATCCTCCCAAAATCCGTTTCTCAGACTCCTCATCCTCCCAAAATCCGTTCTTAGGCTCTTGACCTCCCAAAATCCGTTCTCAGACTCCCCATCCTCCCAAAATCCGTTCTTAGGCTCTTCCGTCCTCCCAAAATCCGTTCTCAGGCTCTCTTGTCCTCCCAAAATCCGTTCTCAGACACTCCTGTCCTCCCAAAATCCGTTCTCAGACTCTCCCATCCTCCCAAATCATTCTCAGCCCAAAATCATTCTCAGACTCCCCATCCTCCCAAAATCCGTTCTCAGGCTCTTCCATCCTCCCAAAATCCGTTCTCAGGCTCTCTTGTCCTCCCAAAATCCCTTCTCAGATGCTCCTGTCCTCCCAAAATCCGTTCTCAGACTGTCCCGTCCTCCCAAAATGAAGCTCTGTCCCCATCAAACGCCCCCTCCCCTCCCCAGCCTGGCGCCCCATCCGCTTTCTGTCTGTGGATTCAGCGCCTGCAGGGACTGCGCGCAGGGGCAGCCTCACAGGATTTGTCCTTTGGAGACCGGTTGGTTTCTCAGCTCAGCGTCCTCAGCCTTCGCTGCCCGGCCTGGCCTGTGTGGGAATCTCCTTCCCTTTAGGGGAAACCGTGTCCCGCTGTGTGCAGGGACCGCGTCGACTGCGTCCGTTCATCTGTGGGCCTCTTCATGGACACCTGGGCTGCCTCCCCTTTGGGGCGAGGGCGAATAACGCTGCTGTGAACGCGGGTGTACAAAGGGCCCTTCCCGATCCCGTTTTCAAGCGTTCTGGGTGTATAGTTATGAGGGACTTGCTGGGTGACAGAGGAATGATGTGTTAATTATTCTGAGGAAAACAGCCAAACTGTTTTCCACAGCAGCGTCTCAGACGGACACGTCCCCCAGCAGCACAGCAGGGACACGGCTCTTGTCCTCGCCAACACTTGCTACTTTCTGGCTTTTTGTTTGTTGTGTACTAACGATGCTGGTGGGTGCAATGTGGTGTCTGGCTGCGGTTTTTATTTGTGTCTCCCTAATGACCAGCACCTTCTCGGGTGTCTGTGAGCCATTTATACCTCATGGAGAGGATGGAGAAATGACCGTCAAGCCCTTGATGTTCTGCTGTGGTTGCGAGCCATGCACTGTATCCGTCTGTTAAATCGGCCGCACTATTTACCCCAGCATTTGCATCACAGCCCCGCCAGCCACGTGAGTAATTCATTCCTTCCTTCCTTCCTTCCTTCCTTCCTTCCTTCCTTCCTTCCTTC